TAAACGTTCATTAAAGTTCACGGAAGTGCGTCATCATCGATATTATGTGGCATAGCCGTGGATATTGGCAGGAATTGTTTGAAGAGGCCGAGCTAGTACATAAAATTCCAAGTGGGAAACCTATGTTATGTAGAGTTACTTGTTTAATATTCTGAGCTTATTTGTTAAGACTCATTGCGATGTTCTTGTATCAGCTACGTTTATTTTACCAGTTTCTTCTTCACTGATATTAAGAACCGCATATCAGGGAAAATACTCCCTTCGTTGACGTTTCTGCAACGTGATACGCAGAAAATCAGTTTCTTCGCCGTCAGAAAAAAGTTTGTGTTTTATTTATTTATTTATTCCTTATTTTAATATGCTGCAGCCCAAGTACAGGGTCATATCAGGAGTGGATGATTAATACAGGACGAAAGCAACGGAGAGAAAAAAGCAATAGTATAAAACTGAAGTACTTTAAAGCGATATGCAAGAAAACAACACATATGTTCGAAGTTGTTAGTTGCGGCATCATTGAAATCTTTTTGTGGTAGTGAGCAAATCCTCCTTGGTAGGGTATTCCAGAGCTCTATATTACGTGAAAAAAAATTTAATGTGTTTGTACGAGAAAATGAAGGCTTTATGTTCAAGTTGTGAGAGCAGCGGGTGCAAGTCTTGTACGTTAACACTATGTTGTTATCGCCAAGGATGCTGGTGGAGGAGTTGATAATCGTATATAATAGTTTTAAATATTCAATTCAGTAAGGAGAATGCAATAATACAATGCTTAGAGAATTGCAGGGCCTGTGATGGTGAGAACTTGTGGCTGTAGGTACGGCACATGAAACGGATGGCTTTACGTTGGACGGTGTGCAGCATTTTGAGGTCACCTTAACTTAGGTCATCTAAGAGCCAGTTTAAGTTAACTAAACACAATTTATTAGCAATTTATTATGCGGTATAAGAGAGATCGAATGGTAAGAACACCTAATTCGTGAGGGTCAATTAGAAGTGATGAAGAGTTATTTGCACTCATTAAAAATATGCAGTAATGTTCCTGTGTTTTCTTGCGTTACGGTATGTTATTAAGTAGTCCCTATAGTGTATATAGTATGTCCGTAATACTTGACCCGATTTGCTTGTTTGTACTCCGCTATTCTAACCCAAATATTTTAAATTTATCCTCTCATGTACAACTTGTCTGTGCCACCTCTGTATTGTGCTTTTGTTTCGAGCCATTGTTTTATGCTTGTTTTAGCTGTCTTCTTAATCATGTCGCGATAAGTGACTAACGAGTTCCCGATCTCACTGACTGTCATTTTTTTTAGTAGTGTAGATGCACAAAGTGTGTATTTTTTTTTTTGCGAGGAAGCTTTCATAAAGAATCTTGAATTCTACGCACGCTGCAGCTCTTAGCTAACTGCGTGCACAGACCTGGTGACCATCACTATATAGTCAAAACAACTTTGTTATACTTCACTTTCAAATTTAGATGAATTTAGCAGCTTTCAAAGCTTACCATGCATTTACGTTTCAAAATAGACTCAACTGATGGTCCTACAAAGTGCTAATAGAGAATATACGTGTTCTGTACCTCTGTCGGCTTTCTTCATGCAATTAAAAGTGCACTTTCAGACGCCGAACAATACGCACCTCCAATCAAAAGCCGCTAAAGTCATCCCTTCCACAACATTAAATGTTCATTGGTGACTCTTTGCATGACCTGAATATACACGTAGCGACCAACATTTCGCAAGAAAATTCAGCATTCTTCCTCATAGCACTCATAAATTTAGATAAATCGATCGTACAGACATGTTATAAAACTAAAAGCTACGAATCGGTATGTCAGTTACGTCATAAAACATACAAGTGGTAAAAAAAGTTCGGCAAATCCCCCACCTTGTCGGAGTCAGTTTTATGCGAAACCCTCAGCGAGTGTTTTAAGGTAGGCATGCATAAATTTGATAGTGTGGTAGTTGTGTGCTCATTGTGGCCTTGCTAGTGACGGCCACTTGGCGTTTAAAGGGCAACTGATGATCTGACGTAAAATCAGCACTCATGATAGATCACATCCTTCAGTATTGGCAAAAGGTAGTGACCTTTACGGTGCAATGATGTGAATGTCATAAGTAGCTTCTGCTAGCGTACTTCTCCGGGGTCGAACAGATACATGAATGATAACATGCTGAATGGTAGAAATACAAATGTAACATTTCTTAGTGTGCCACAAAAGCAGCGCCAACACTTGAACAAGAGTTTACGTTAACGCGACATGACGCTTTTATCGCAGGGCTACATATGTGATCTTTATCGCTTTATTATGGATTACGTAACCGGCCCTGGAACGACAACTATCGTTGCGCTCACATAACGGCAGCATACGGTATTTTTCCCATGCAGTTTCGAGACCATGCGTTGCTCATTGGCAGAATACCTGACTGCCACGCATAACTTTCGAGATCGATTATTGCTGGAACCTCTATTTTTATTATTTGCATTAGTCGGGTCAACACTCGTGATGTTAGTTTTGCTTAACGCATACCGCGACACTTACGCATACCCGCATACCACGGCCCCTGGTGTACGAGTGTATGCCACAGCTCTTTTCCAGAAAGTAATATTCGCCAAGCCTTTTACCTTCCCATACCAAGTTTTGTTTACATACAGTTAATGACATACGCAGATATACAGATACACAGATAGATAGATACACAGATAGATAGATAGATAGATAGATAGATAGATAGATAGATAGATAGATAGATAGATAGATAGATAGATAGATAGATAGATAGATAGATAGATAGATAGATAGATAGATAGATAGGGACACCCAAAGTATGTTGGTTCGCTACGAGATGCATTATAAGATTCTTAGTCGACGCCATCGGACTACAGAGCACCGTTTCTACGCTTCAAAATAGACGGTTCCCATTATTTAAAAGCCAGCACGCTTACACACCTGATATTGCGACAGAACACCGGGCGGCGTCGAACACCTGTGCCGCGGGGATTCACTAGCATAAATTAAGACAAACACTCAAGCGCTTAAAATGCTCTTTCCGTGCAAACGGAAGGATCAGAGAGGGCACGCCTGCTGTATTCGAAGCGATTGGTCTTGGCCCAATTCCGCATTGCATTTCGATGCTACTGTAGTTCTTGTTGGGACTTGGCTGCCCAAGTGAAGCCATATTTGCTGCCCATTTGCAGACTGTTTCTCGCATACGCATATCTGTGCAAGTGTCAAACTTATTCATGACTTAGCAAGAAAACGGATTTCATTAGCAAAAAAGCGGTGGGCTGTGCACCGAGGTACCAATTAAAGCATTTGTGGGTGGGCTCAGCCAGCTGCCTCGAGGGACACTTAGCGGCCTTGGGATTTTTCCACGCGCGTTTGTGCGCAATTTTATTCGAGCGACTACTTTCGCGTGTGCGTTACACACCTCAAATGTCGATAGCGTGGATCGCCGTCTAGTCCTTATGCAAATACAAAATCGATGCTTTAAGCAGCAAGACATTTTGAGCAAGCATCTTGAGCAAGCACTCGGGCAAACTTTTCGGTTTCGCTAAACTTGCACACAGCATAAGAAACAGCATGGACGAATGTACAATCTGATGTTTCATCGATTTTAACGAAGAGAGTACTAATCAAGGGATCGAAACTGTTGGTTAAATGTGCGCTTAACGATTTTTGCCTATTGTGAAATCAGTGCATGCGGAAGACATCTCTAATTGCCACACTGAACATGGACTGCCTGAATTGCATATTTATGGCCGATAAACTTAAGAATTCCTAATATCACCGACCTAAGATGCCGGCGCGTAGACAGAAAGTTTTTGTCGGCTGGAGAAGGGGGCACTTTTTTCATTTCGGCAAGGGCACCCCCTTGAGATAGTCATTTCTTGCCCTCTATGTCATGGCAACTAAACATTTCGGGGGGGGGGGGGGGCACAGGCCCGGTGTGCCAGCCCCTGGCTACTTCTCTGATAGGATGGGTACGTCGGCGCTCTCATAATGTGGTCGTATGGATACCGAAGCTGTGAACGATCAAATTTTGGTGACAGTTCGGCTACCACTTAAAACATTTCGCGTTACCTCACTGAGACGGAGCAGGCTCACAGCGCGAATCATAGAGTGGTAAGTTTGATTTGAAGCGATGAACACCATTCTTTATCCTAGTACATTTAATGTTGTGGTCTTCCAGCTCAAACACTTGCTTTTTATTTTGACACTCACGTCTCAGTAGCTTTGTTATGCAAACGGACGCGGTAGGTGTGACGCGCTGCGGCTATATTTACCTCTGTTGCGTGCTCGAAACTTTCCCCGCGGTGTTGACAATCTGAGTGCACCGGAAGTTCGATGCAGCGCGCTACGGCGAACTGAGCGCGCGAGTACACGCTTCCGCCGTAAACGCCACCTTTCGTTACCGGCAAGCTTGATTGATGGCCTCAATCTCGCTCCAGGTGGCTGATCAATTTGTCAAGTTGATCGAGAGCGTGATGACTGCCCACTGCCGACTAACAGAGGCGCTTCAAGCACGAAAGAGTTAAAGCCACCGTAAAACGACAGGTTGAAGATCTGCGACGCTGATGGAGATTTTTGCGGCAAGGTCTCTCTTTCTGAATGAGAAAACTTGCGGGCGGTGACGCGATAGGAATGAAGAAGTGAAGCTTAGTAGCAGCTTCCGGATGGTACGCATTTACCGTTTCGTTAGTCTTTTATACCTAATTTATATAGCCCTATTTCCGACTCGCTCACAAAAGGTCACGTGCACTTTCCCGCCACAGACGTACACAGGCCATGACCGTGCTCGTTGTCCTCTTTTAAAACAGTTTTGTTACACCGCGTAAAAACGGCAGCGCGGTTTTCATCTATTATCATATACAAAGAAGCCATGCGTTTAGTAACGTGCACATCGATTATGTACACAACTCCGTTTATGCGGCCCACATATCATGCGATCGCGCACGCAGGGCACAAACCTAACGACTTAGCGAAGGCGTTATAAAAGGCTAACCTGAGGGCAGGGTATTCCGATCCACGGACGCAGCAAGAAGCAAGGACCAAAAGTAGCAGCGCCAGCGCCGCAAACCGAAGGGCACTCGGGGTAGGCATGTTTCTGCGCGGCATCGCGTCGCTGCTCGGCGCGCGCGTCAGGAGAGGGGTTGTCGATGGGGCCAGCCGCCGTTCGAACGGGCTTCTCCTTCTCTCTGCTGTCACCTGTCCTCCTCCTCACCTGTACACATCCTTCGTTGGCGTGATACCGCCACGAGCAGACCAGCCACCCCCCTCTCGCACCAGCGGGGCTGCCCCTTTTGCCCGCACGCCAACCGAAGGCTCTGACGTAGAGGCACGCAAACACGAAATGAAGAAACCAGTTTCCTCCAGTTTCGGGCAACAAGGGTAAAGCTAAACAGCTTAAGGGGTGCGAGAAAATCGTCGCCGTAGGGCGAGCAGTGGCCGGTGCACGCTCCCCTCCACCTGCCTCCTCAGCGGCTCTGTGTGAGGTTTTAATGAGCGAGAGCATCCTAGGACCGGAACTGAGAAAGATGACGCCGGATGCATCTCTTGCTCGTTGAGCGCTTGGCCTCTGTGACTCCCCAAGGATACTCCTTAAAGGCTCATCTCGTCGCGCAATTCGGTATTAGCCCACTGTATTCAAGGACGCGCCTTCCTATAGCCATGCCACGACAATACTTGTGATATATCAAACGCGGTCATCTCAAAGCCGCAGGCCAATGTACTTTCGCTTTCACGGTTCTACTGCACGAATACCTTGCTAGCGAAGACGTTACGTTGTAAGTGCATACAGTTCGTAAGGACCCATTGTTCTCGGTGTGTGCAGTGTATGCATAGAACTGCGCATTCATTTGGATTTCTTGATAGAATGAAGGGTTCTGGGATGGACACGGAATCGAGTGCCTGGTTACTGCCAGCTGCAGATGTATTCCAAGGCTATCGCGATGTAATAACCACTTCATGTAGAAGGCACCTAGACTAACCTTGTGTGAAATAAACATACGGTGGACGTTGTTATTAAATGACTAGAAAAGCGGAGAAATGGCGAATTATCCGTAGTTATTAGCAACCCACGTTTCAGTGCCCCAAACAAAGTGAAAAACGACAAGAGAAGAGTACGTTTTAGTGTTTTGTCTGTCCTGTCTCTGCCGTCCTCTGAGGTTTGACTGTTGCAACACCGAAAAAGGAAAGTGTATTTAAAAAGTGTCTGGGATGTGCACACACACAGCCAAAAATTATTATTAATCAAAAAAAGACACCCGCATATTCCCATGGGGAGCACTCGAGTGAGTGCGCTGCAGAGGGGTGGGGGCATCGTGTGAATGTTGCGTAATTCAGTGTGGTTTGAGAATGCTTAATTTATATTATGTATTTATTGTTCTTATTTATTGAATCAAGGATGAGCGACGAGTGGTAGGACGATGACGTGTGGTTGCACTCTACTTCTGGTAGAAGGTGTTGGCATTGTGCATCTGCTTCTGATTGATTGATATGTGGGGTTTAACGTCCAAAACCACCATATTGTCACGACGTCAAAACAGAGGTCTTGTCGCAGAGATTGAGACACCAGAAGCAAGTCGATCTTTTTAATTAGAACGCGCAAGCGAGTTCTTTTTTCTCGTCCATTTCGTAGTCCTTCTTGGCACATGCACAACTGCCATCGTCTTTCTTGAGCAAGCACGTGACATTTGCCTCCCTCCGATAGAAGCATCGTCCCGATGCGCAACTTAGGTGCTCTAGCAGGCGTATGAAGTGGTCGTACGAAAACGGTAACCAGGAGCTAATTAACTTGATGAATACGGTTTCACACGCACGACGTGCACGACTTCGGTCAAATGCTTTTGGTGCTTAGAACTAAAATCAGTGTCGGGAACAATTTCGTAGTTCACGTCGTTCAAGCGTCACGTGACGCTGTATGGACCAAAGTACCGTCTTAGCAGTTTTCAAGACAGTCCACGTCGGCGTATCGGAATCCAGACCCACAATTTGTCGCCTGGTGTGTAGTTAATAAACTTTTGTCGGGTGTCGTAGCGTTGTGCATCTTGATGCTGCTGATGACAGATGCGCACGCGCGCGAGCTGTCTGGCTTCTTCGGCAGGCTGAGTGAATCCTTCGGCGTCTATATGAATGTGGTCACGCTCATGAGGCAACATGGCGTCCGATGTTGTTGTGACTTCGCGGCCATAGATCTGACTGAACGGTGTCGTTCCAGTGATTTCTTGTCGAGCGGTGTTATAAGCAAAGATCACGTACCGCAATATCTGATCCCAGTTTTTATGTTCCGTGTCAACGTACATACTGATCATGTCTCTGAGGGTCCTATTGAGGCGCTCCGTCAGTCCGTTTGTCTGCGGATGGTATGCAGTTGTTCTCCGGTGAGCTGTACTGCTGAGTCTGACAACCGACTCCAAGAGCTCTGCGGTGAAGGCAGGTACTCTGTCTGTGATCACTGTTATCGGATCGCCACGCAGAAGGACGATGTTTTCGATAAAGAACTGAGCGGCTTCTGCTACTGTGCCGCGCTGCATAGCTTTAGTCTCCGCATAACGGGACAGGTAATCAGTGACCACAATATTCCATCTGTTCCCTGTTGTGGAAGTTGGAAAGGGACCCAGGAAATCCATTCCAATCAGGGTGAACGGCTTTTCTGGTGCTTCGACTGGATGTAAAAGACCGGCTGGCTTGCTGGGAGGCGCTTTGCGTCTTCGGCAGTCGGTGCAAGTTCGCACGTGATGGTTAAGAGCAGCAGTTAACTTTGACCAGTAGTACTTGCATCGTAGTTGGCACAATGTTCGGGTGTAGCCTAGATGACCAGAAGTTGCTTCATCATGGCACGCTTCCATAATTTCTTTTCGAATAGAGGCAGGCACCACGAGCAAGTGCGGGTTACCGGTTGGTGAGAAGTTTTTTTATAGAGGACATCGTTCCGCAAGCAAAAAATGGCAGTCCTCTAGCAAATAACCGCGGCACGTCTTTACGTCGTCCTTCTAAATATTCAATGAGTGGTAACAGCTCAGGGTCACTGCGCTGCTCTCGTGTAATAGTGGCCGTGTTGACAACTCCCAAGAATGTTTTCGTCATCAGGAGCGACAGTTTCCACTGGCGACCGTGAGAGACAGTCGGCGTCGGTGTGCCTCTTTCCAGATTTATAGACGACGGTCATGTCAAACTCTTGAAGCCTTAGGCTCCAGCGCGCCAAACGACCAGGTGGATCTTTAAGGTTGGTGAGCCAGCACAAAGAGTGATGGTCGCTAACAACCTTGAAGGAGCGGCCGTACAAATACGGACGAAATTTGATGACTACCCAAACCACGGCGAGACACTCCGTCTCGGTGGTCGAGTAGTTCTCCTCCGTGCGAGAGAGAGTTCTGCTGGCGTAGGCTATTGCTCTTTCACAGCCGTCTTACCGCTGCACCAGAACGGCACCTAGACCTACATTGCCGGCGTCAGTGTGAATTACTTTAGGAGCGTCCTGGTCGAAGTGCGCAAGGACGGGAGGTGTTTGCAGGCATTGTCGTAATTCATTGAATGCCATTTGCTCCTGTTCACCCCAAAAGAAGGGGACGTCCTCACGTGTGAGTCGTGTCAATGGCGCCGCAATAGACGAAAAGTCCTCGATGAATCGCCGGTAATAGGCGCACAACCCTAAGAAGCGTGTCACGGCCTTTTTGTCATGGGGTGCACGAAATTGCGCTATGGCGTCTATTTTAGCCGGGTCAGGTCGAACACCCTCGTGACTGACGACGTGGCCTAGGAAGCTGAGTTCGTTGAAACCAAAATGACATTTTTCTGGTTTTAAGGTCAGGCCGGCCAAGCGTATGGCTTGGAGTACGGTGAATAGATGGTTGAGATGTTCCTCGAATGTTGCTAAGAATACAACATCGTTCGATAGACCAAGCATGTTTGCCACTTCAGGCTGAGTATACTCGGCGCCAGCCACTTTTCAGCGTCCATGAGACGCTGAAAAGTGGCTGGCGCCGAGCACAACCCAAAAGGAAGCACCTTAAATTCGTAAAGGCCATCAGGCGTCACAAAGGCCATTTTTGACGAGCCACTTCGGAGGTTCATTGAAGAAAAATAGCGCGCATGACGCAGCCGATCGAGTGAATCGTCTACGCGTGGCAGTGGATAGATGTCCTTCTTCGTGACTTGGTTCAACTTGCGATAATCAATACAGAAATGCAAGCTGCCGTCTTTTTTCTTGACCAAAACCACGGGGGACGCCCAAGGACTTTTCGAAGGTTGTATGACGTCATCCACGAGCATATTCTGTACTTGTTCTGAATCTCCTCGCGTTCTTTCGGAGCCACGCGGTAGAGGTTCTGCCGAATCGGTCGCATGTTGTCTTCAGTAATGATGCGGTGCTTGGTCAATGGTGTCCGCTGGACGTTTGACGTAAGCGAAAACCAGTCTTTGAATTGGTGTATAAGTCCAAGCAGGCGCTTCCTATCAGAGGGCGGAAGTGTGGAGCAGATGTCCACCGACAAAGTTGTCGAGGCAGGGACTGTCGCGTCGTCTGGTTGCAAAGCACAGCCATCCCCGGCTTGGTCTATATTGTCGAAGTAGGCATTTGCGGTACCCTTCTGGATTTGACGGCGCTCGTTGCTGAAGTTTGTGAGGAGCACTTCTGCCTGCCTACCAGTAAGCGTTAGGACGCCTCTTGCGATGGAAATGCCTTGCGTGAGCAAAGGAGCGACTATGTGCTCCACTATCACATTTTTATACGAAAGCCACCCACTGGACACAGACACAAGGCAGCAGGATCTCGAGGGGAGCGTCAAATTGTCGGCTATTCGCTAACGGCCGCGTAGTTCGTCGCTGCTGTCGTCGACATAGGGATGTGCGAAAAACGTCACCATACGTTGAGGGATGTTGACAAAAGCACCTTGATCTGGAAGAAAATCTATGCCCACAAGTAGCTCTTTGCAGCAGTCTGGCAACAGGACGAAAGTGGCCATGAAGCTAGAATCCCCAATGCGAAGTCTAGTGGTGCATTTACCCGTGGGAGTCATCAGCTAACCACCAGCACTCCATATGTGCGGCGCCGTCAACGGTGTCTTGACCTTTCTAAGGTGGTGGGTGAGTTCTTGTCGCATGATTGAGAAGTAGGAGCCAGTGTTGACCAGTGCTGTAACGTGATGTCCGTCAATTAAAACGCCAAGATCAGCACGTACAACTTCAC